CCGTCAATTCATATAGATGTCTTCTGACGTGACGTGGCGAGGGTTCTTTCGCAAGCAGATGTCTTTTCGGGTGCCCAAGACGGTGACGCCATACTAGGAATTGCTTGCAGAGCATTGTGTTATGCTCCTTAATCGGGAGTATATGGGCCTCGTCGTGCAGGTGATGTTGCGGCGATATCAGAAGGCATCCTGTCGCTGTCTGAGAGCCGTGATTTGGAAGGTCTTCACAGCTTTATCCACTTCGTCCTACTAATCCTCGGTAACCACACGGGCGCTGCATAGTTCAGAACCGGGATGCCAATTACCTTGTACGTTGGCAACAACATTTCTTTGTCTTTGCCCCAGGTGCTGCCGGCCAGCGACTTGAGGATCGTGTTACGGCTTTGTACTTTATTGACAATTGCGGTTGTATGTGTTGAAAATACTTATGTATTTAAATATGTATTTGTATTTGTATATGTGCATATAAAATGCACTCATAAGCTTATTATACTTTATTTACCAGCTTCGCATAATTGTAATACTTATAAGCATATTCTTGATACATTAAACAGTCAGTCCACTCATAAACCTCACACCGTCGTGTTCTTTATTCTCTCTCTACATGGTAGCAGAGCAAGGTTACTGCTGTAGTGTCGGGTGTCGGAATTAAATAAATAAAATAAAAATCAAAAGTGCAAAATCTGCTGTAATAATAAATATAAAATAACGCTTCAAGCAAGACTTTGAATTAATATACATATACATATATATAAAATTTATAAGTGAAATTATAAGTTAAAATGGAAAAGGGTTTTGAAGTAGAGAAACTCAAAGGCCAGGAAAATTTCCACAACTGGTGTTTCGCAATAAAAAATATATTAGCATTCAAAGGTCTGCATAAGTGTATAACCGATCCTGTCACAGAAACAAACGCTGAGAAATTAACTAATTGCAAAGCCCTGTTAGCTCTAAGCGTAGCGCCATCGCTGTACGTTCACATATCCAGATGTGAAACAGCGCTAGAAATATGGCAGAAACTAAAAAATCTGTATGAGGACAAAGGCTTAACAAGAAAAATTGGGTTATTAAGAGGCCTGATCTCTTGCAGATTAGAAGACTGCGAGAACATGCAATCATACATTGATAGAATTAAAGATAATTCTAATAAATTAAATGAAATTGGTTTTGAGATAAATGAGGATTGGCTGACGGCGATAGTATTGGCTGGTTTAACTGATGCATATAAACCATTTATAATGGGAATTGAAGCATCAGACTCACAAATAAAATCAGAAACAATAATCGCTAAACTGTTGGACTCTGATACCAACACAACCACAAAAAGTGATGCATTTCTTAGTAAAAAAAGGTACGAAAATAAGCAAAAATACTTACAAAAGAAAAAATGCACAACTTGTGGAAAGAAACATGCAGGGGAATGTCACTACAAGAAAAATAATGCACAAAATGGCACAGCAAAAAATGCATTCACAGCGTTATTAACGAAAAGAAATAACGACGACTGGTATCTAGACAGTGGTGCATCGTCTCATATGACACCAAACGATAATTTGCTCACTAGCAAAAAAAATTCACTCGTTGACAAAATAATGTCAGCAAATGGAACAGCTATGACAGTAAGTTGCGTTGGCAAAACATCACTGAATATCAACGGGCAAGAAATTGTAGTTAACGAAATTCTACACATGCCCGATTTATCAGTAAACCTTCTGTCAGCTGCAAAAATAGTGAGTCAGGGGAATGTAATAAAATTCGATGCAACAGGCTGTACAATACTTAACAAAAACAAAGAAGTAATTGTACAGTGCAAAGCGGAAAATGGTGTTTACAAACTGAAGGGAATCCAAGCAAAATGCTTGTTATCAAAACAAACAAATAACAACGCAATGCTATGGCACAGGCGACTTGGACACATAAATTTTCAAAGTTTAAAGAAAATGCGTGACGGCGCTGTTTCTGGTATTGATTTCAATGACGACGATCATGAAATAAAAAATTGTCAGATATGTCCCAAAGGCAAACAAACAAGAATTCCGTTTAAACAAAGTAACTCAAAAACAACAAAGCTACTCGAACTAATACATTCTGATCTATGTGGACCTATGGAAACGCAATCTATAGGACACGCCAAATATGTATTAACATTCATAGATGATTTCTCCCGAAAATTATTCGTTTACTTTCTCAAGTCAAAATCAGAAGTTTTCAATAACTTTAAAAATTTCAAAACATACATTGAACGCCAAACTGGATCTAAAATCAAAACAATACGGACGGACAATGGTGGTGAATATTGTTCAACTGAATTCGACAAATACTGTAAAGAGAATGGTATCAAGCATCAATTAAGTAATGCATATACTCCTCAGCAGAATGGAATTGCCGAAAGAATGAACCGAAGCTTAATTGAAAAAGCTAAATGTCTCCTGTTTGATGCAAATCTTCAAAAATGTTATTGGGCAGAAGCAACAAATATGGCAGCCTACTTAATCAACAAAAGTATTTGTTCGTCGCATGGAAAAATTCCTGATGAAATATTCTATAAAAAAAAAATAGACATATCTAACCTGAAATTGTTTGGTTGTGAAGCAATGGTTCACATAAACAAAGAAAAACGTAAAAAATGGGATCCTAAATCCAAGAAAATGTTTTTCGTGGGCTATGATGACGACATTAAAGGTTTTCGCTGTATTGATTCAATAACAAAGAAACTGGTTATAAGTCGAGATGTAATATTCTACGAAAAACCTCAACCAAAGTCGACCTTAAAAATCTATAACGACGAAGTGAGGGAAATAAAGAGAAGCGATGAAGACACATTTGAAGAAGTTAGCATAAAACCTGATGAATCGAACGAAGACGTACAAAGTGTTGCGGAAGATGACACCATGATAGAATCACCGAATCAAACCCAAAATGATCCAGATTATGTTCCTGAACAAAGTATTGATGAATCTGAAGAAGAAAGAAGAGTCACACGATCTAAAGCTAAGGTATCTGTACCATCTTTTCAATTTAATGCTTTTGCATTTCTTTCACAGCCATTAACAGTATCAGAAGCTATAAACGGTGAAAAAGCGAAAGAATGGGAAGATGCAATGAATGAAGAAATGGAATCACATAGATCAAATAACACCTGGTCGTTGATGAAACTACCAGATGGAAGAAAGCCTATAAAAGCAAAATGGGTCTTTAAAGTAAAACAAGATGAGGTCGGTAAAGCTGTAAAATATAAAGCACGACTTGTTGCAAAAGGCTGTGCACAAAAATACGGCATCGATTATGATGAAACATTCTCGCCGGTGGTTAGATACACATCAATAAGGTTTTTAGTGGCTTTAGCAGTAAAAAACGGCTATAAAATCCATCAAATGGATGTAGTGACTGCGTTTCTTCAAGGTGATCTTAAAGAAACAATATACATGGAACAACCAGAAGGTTACAATGATGGCACTAACAAGGTATGTAAGCTAAACAAAGCTGTTTACGGACTGAAACAAGCCGGAAGACAGTGGAACTTAAAGCTCGATTCAGCATTAAAAGAATTCGGGTTACAAAGGTGTAAAACTGATCCATGCATTTACTATGATAAAGAATTGAATCTGATAATTGCAATATACGTCGATGATTTCCTTATACTCTACAAAGGTAGTAATAACCTAGAAAAACTAATGCAGTACCTTAACAAAAAATTCAAAATGAAAGATTTGGGATCTGCTCAAAGTTGTCTTGGAATACGTATCACGCAGAGCAAAAATTGCGACGAAATTACACTAGATCAATCGTCATATATAAATGAAATTCTTGAACGTTTTGGTATGCAGGATTGTAAGCCAGTGGGCACACCATGTGAAGTAAGTCAAAAATTGACTGAAAAATGCATCACTGAGAAAAATGATCTGACGGGGAAAATACCATACCAAGAAGCTGTGGGCAGCCTTTTATATTTAACACAAGGAACTAGACCGGATATAGCATTTGCAGTAAATAATGTAAGCCGGTTTAACTTAAAACACTCAAATGAGCATTGGCAAGCTGTGAAAAGAATATTTCGATATTTAAAAGGCACAATTGATTTCAAACTAAGCTATCGAAAAATTGATGATGTCAACTTGGCAGCATTTAGTGACGCTGATTGGGCAGCAGAAATCGACGGCAGAAGATCGTGTTCCGGCTATGTATTAAAAATGTCCAATGCTGCTATAAGTTGGTGCAGCAAACGGCAACCAATAGTTGCTTTATCAAGCACAGAAGCAGAATACATCGCATTGTCTTCAACAGTACGAGAAATAATATGGATGAAAATGTTAGCCAAAGAAGTTGATAAAAACTTGGTTGAAACTACTAAAGTTTTTTGTGACAATCAAAGTACTATCAAATTAGGCTCGAGCGAAGCATACAGACCAAGGACGAAACACATTGATATCAGATATCACCATATACGTGAAAAAATCGATGAAGGTTCAATCAAATTGGAGTTTCTTGACACTCAACAAATGGCAGCTGATTCGTTAACAAAAGCAGTCAGCAGAGAAAAAACAAAATTTTGCGCTGAACAAATGGGCTTAAGCTCATAATAAAATAAGACAATAATTAACATTTATAATAATTATTGTTTTACTCACAGTTATCCAATATTATACAACATGGGAGGCTGGTTTTCATCGGAGCAGCAGAAATCCAACAACAATGGAGAAGTACAGAACAATATCAATATTAGTGAACCTGTTCCAATACACAACCAAGAAATCTTGATTATGTTAGGGATTATTTGCATTCTAAAAATAATAGAATTTCTATACTTTTTATATCGATTACATTATCGTAAAGTTAAAAGACAGTATCAAACTCAAAAAGTATAATACACTGTAAAACAAAATCTTGCTAAAACCCAAAAAAAAAAACTGTAGTATAAAATTAACTTCAAATTACATTAAAAAAAACATCAAAAATATTGTAAAAAAAATTTTTATTTTAAATATGAATAATAATTTTGTAAACAATAAGTGAGGGTGTTGAAAATACTTATGTATTTAAATATGTATTTGTATTTGTATATGTGCATATAAAATGCACTCATAAGCTTATTATACTTTATTTACCAGCTTCGCATAATTGTAATACTTATAAGCATATTCTTGATACATTAAACAGTCAGTCCACTCATAAACCTCAAACCGTCGTGTTCTTTATTCTCTCTCTACAGTATGCGCCGAGAAGAAGAGCAGACTTTCGAAGGTTACTCGGAGGATTTTCGGGTTATTCACCATCGGAATTGGTTCGTCATCAACGAGAATACCCAGTTGCAGTCTGACCTTCTTCGTCAGCAAAAAGGTTGCTGAGGATTTTGTAGGAGAGAGGGTTAGGCTCCGTGCAGTGAAGAAGCGAGAAAGCTCGGCGAGGCTACGAGTTATCTGTGTGTTTATGGCGTCAAGTGCTATTGTGGTTCTGTGCACTTTACGGAACCCATGCTGATGCTTCGCTGGGGTCAGGTGAATCATGTAGTGCGGGAGTAGAAGGGAGAAAGGAAAGTTATTGGGCGAGAAGACTCTCCTTTGTTGGACGGTTTCCCTGGTTTTAGCAGTGAAACCACTCTCCCCATTTTCCAGATGTCTGGTATGATGAGAGTGGCTGTAGACAGGGTGAGGACCTTGGTTAGATAGTCCACTCCCGCAGGACCCAAGTTTTTCAGCATAAGCATGCGAATTCCGTCGGATCCAATGGCTTTGGAGGCGTTCGCCTTCCCGATGGCTATCCTTACCTAGCCAGATAACACTGTAATTATTCGTTTATTCAGTGAACTGTGTCAGGATAAGACTTCGGGATTTGTCTTCAAACATTTTCAATTTTATACTTTTGAATGCAAACAAAATTTTTATCAGCTATTCGTCTAACTTGCAAGTTTCTGCAAATTTTCTGTTCGCGTAATGTTTTGGATATATTTTCTTGGACGGTTTTAACTGACGTAAAACTAGATATTGAAAATTTGGCCAAATGGATCTTTTGAATTTTCTTTAATATCTATTTTACGCACGATAAAATAATAATAAAATTAATGTTTCTCATTTCTAATAATACCTTTAGTTAAAAACAAAATTTTTGTTTTTGTGGTTTTTTTTGTGGCTCTTTGTAGCATTTAGAATTTGACCTTGCCCACCCCTGACATATAGCATTCTGTGGAATCATATGTATGTAAGTTAACTACATACATTTTGTCGATGTTATTGCAAAACCGCTTAAATCGGCATTGTGACAAAAATGAGATTTGGTAACCCTGAACTCCAGGCATCGAGATTTATGTATACGAATCGTAAAATCGTTATTAAAACAACAGATAGCTAGAGAAAATACCGCCTATCAAGGCAATGCCTTCAAAGGAAACCCGTTTTTTCGCTCTGCTATAAAAATTTGAGGGCCGTAAGATAGGCGGCTTTGCCATTGGTCGATGGGCGGGTTTCATTTCATTTCATTCTTTATTAAGTCTATGATTACAAGAATCTTACAGACTAGAAGAACACAGAGACTTAAAGATAAGTTTTCTACTAACTAATTACATGTGCTTTGTTAAAAACAGAAATATCTAATCTTAGACACACACAGAGATCTCGGGCTAGCATCAAGGGTACTATAAATTTTATTAAACTAACTAAGCGTTCTAGGAATAGGAGCAAATTTAAAATAGTTAGATCTCGCTACGGTAACATGAAAGGAATAATAGTGGCGGAGCATCCTATTAGGTACATTGAAGCTTATCTGCTCCAGAAGAGTCGGGCAGCCATTAATGAAATCATAGATAGACATTATAGATTGAATGGTTATCCTATTTGCAAGGGATTTCAAGTCGATGAGCAAACAACGGGCACTGTAAGAAGGGACAGTGTCACTAAAGTGTCACGTAAGTGAGTGGCCGTCAATGCGAGCGGACATGTACTTATTGCGCTCCGCGATTTTTGTGTTTGCTTCGCTTATTGTTTAAATGTGTTCGAGACAGTGCCTCTATTCTATAAAATTGTAGAATTACACAAAATGCTTTGTTTCTGTTGTCTAAAAGTTGACCGTAACAACAAAGCCAAAGTCCAATGTGCTAAATGTAGTGAGCTTTTCCACCTTAAGTATGCCGGTATTTCTCCTGCTGACTTGGATTATTTGATCAGCTATAATAGCAGCTTTTTCTGCAAAATTTGTTCGGACATTCGCCGAAGATCTCTCCGATCTCTCCTCCGTCTCTTGGTGAGGCGGAGAGTGCAATTGATATTAATTCGCCTGCTTCAACAAACCTTAGCGCAAATATTTTGCCCCAACAACAATTGCCTCAGGCGGTCGTAATGCAGAAGCACAGTGAAAATGGACAAAGTGAAAACGATGACAATACTGCAATCTCGCTAGCAATAGTTCTCAAAGAAATTGCTGCTCTTAAATATGAACAAGTCGTGCGCCTGCTGCGATTAGTTCTCTTCAAGCGGATAAACAGTTGTTGATAGCAAAGACAGATGAATTTCGCTCTGATATAAGACCAATACAAAAATTCCTAACCGAAGAGGTCGCCTCAGCCCTTGCGCTTCTTACGGCTGAGATAAAAGACCTTCGTACATGTATACTTGCATGTGGTTGCCATGACACGAAAAAGAAAAATATAAAAAGTAAAACAATACATCACAACCTCGCTCCTTCACCCGTGGCCGCTAATTCTACAGTCTTGCCCACTGCTTCTCCTGTTAACAGTGTCGGTAAAAGTATGTTCACATATAAATATTATCTCAATCAAAGCTCGTTTTTTAATCACCCCGTTTACACAGGCAAATCTCAGATTATTAGCTGTCAAATTTTTTGGGCTTGTTATTCTCACATCTCAATGAAAAGTCAAGTTCCTTCTCTGTGCCACCGGGATCACTTTTTTCTGCTCTATTAAGCAATTTCAATATATCTAAACCTTATATTTGTTTAAAAATACCTTTACAAACCTCCTTTCCTTGCTAGCGTCCATTTTTGTTTACTTTTTCCTCTTCGCAAAAATAATCGATAAAACTAGGGTGGACACCGAAAAGTTATCGATTTAATCTGTTATTATTTTATAATTACAGATTAACGAGGGACGAATTGTGTATGGCTTATCTCTTTTTCTAATTACAGATTAGGGAGTTAGTATAACTCGTCTTGCTCTAATGATATTCAACTGTCTGGTGCTTCTGATCGCCTGCCTGCTGCTTTTCGATTGACTAATACGAACAGTGTAATTTAGTCGCTCCTGCGCCGACACAGTCAACTGATCAAGGTATCTTACGCACGCCTACGTCGTTTATGAATTCGGTCCCCGCTGATAACATTGTCGCATATGTTTGGAAGAATATGTCCATTGAGTCTTGCTTGATATCCTACCATATGCTGGTGAAGAAAGATGTTAAAACATTAAAACGTGTCAATTTCAAGATAGGAGTTCCTTCTTAACACTACGCGTCTCTTCTCAACTCTGCAATTTGGCCAGCTGATGCTAATGTGCGCCCGTTTGAGTTTTTTCAGAAAGCAGGTGCGGCGCAACCAAAACCGTAACTGATTCCCTTCTGTGTGAACCTCTTTCCAAATCTCTAAGGATATATTTTCATAATGTTTCTGGACTCAGAATTAAATCCAGAACAGTATTTAATATGAGTAACACTTGGACCATGACGTCTTCGTTCTTATTGAAACATGATTGAATGCTGATTTTTGTGAAAATGAATTTTTCGACCCCAATCTTTTTAATGTGTACCGGAAAGATCGTGATTTTATTAAAACTGGATTGTCAAGAGCGGTGGTGTTTTAATCGCTGTTCAGCGTCGGTATCGCTCATTACTCATTTATTTAGAAAATGTGGACTCACTTCTGGACCAACTTTGCGTTGTGGTACAAGGGACCACGAATATCTATATCTGTGCGTCCTACATTCCACCGTCCAGTGTTGATAGTCTCTACAAAACTCATGTTGATAACATAACGCCTCTCGTCTGCAAACATTCTGGCAGCAACTTTTCTGTTCTTGGAGACTTCTACTTGGCTAGTATTGAATGGTCATATGTAGATAGTAACTATGGCCTAACTCCAAAAAACATTAATAGCTTTTCAGAGTCCTACTTAGTTGATTGTTTTTTAAGTTTAGATTTTATTCAAATCAACAGTTTTTTTCGAATTCTGGGTCTTATCTTCATAAGTGATAACATGCATGCCACACTTCATGAATGTCTTCATTCTTTATCAAGTTCTTGTAATCATCACATACCGCTCATTATTTGTCTAGAATTTTACAGTTTTAAAAGTCTTTGTGTAAATAATCAAATTAATAATTTTTGCTGTAAACGTTGTAATTTTAATATTGTAGATAACGAAATTTCTCTATTAGATTGGGATTCCCTTTTTACTGGAATTAATATTTCTTCATGTTTTGACACATTTAAAACAAAGATGTATGAAATCTTCTGCGAAAATGTACCACGTGTTAGCAAGAAGTGCTATAGGGTTCCTTGGTATACGAGAAAATTAGAAAGGCTAAAGAATTTGAGGAATAAGTTTTTAAGAAAATTTAAATTAACAAGTGCCCCAAGCGTATAGGGATAAATATTTGCGCTACTCCAAGAAGTTTAAACACTAAAGTAAAATTCTCCAGCGTAATTATATTCGTAAATTTGAGTCTGATATTAAGTGTAATCCAAAAGTTTTCTGGCGTTACGTTAAGTCCGAAAAGTCCTGCTCTGATATCCCCTCCGAGGTATTTTACAATGGCAGTTATGCAACCGATCTTTTCGTTGACTTTTTTAGTTCTAACTTTGATCCATCGTCGGAACATCTGAGTGATAATTTTTGGAAAACCAATTCCACCATTAACTTTGGCTCTCTTTCGCTATCTATTGAGGATGTTTGGGATAGAATACAGGGCTTTAAAAGCTCTTCGCATGTGGATATTGATGGTTTCTCATCCTATCTCTTCAAGAATTGTCCTGCCCTTACATATCCTCTTTTGCTAATTTTTAATAAATCGATAGAATCTGAGGAGTTTATTGATGCGTGGAAAGTTACGCCCATCACACCTTTATTCAAGGCTGGTAATAAAAAAGATGTTGCTAATTATAGGCCTATTTCCAAACTTTCTATAACATCGAAGCTGTTTGAATATATTATCAAACAGGGGTTGTATTTTGCCGTAAAGCGTAACATATCTAATAACCAGCACGGTTTCATGACTGGCAGGTCAGGTATTCACAGAGTTTTGTACGTCTGCCCTCAATGACAGATTCCATGTCCATACAATCTATACCGACTTTTCTAAGGCTTTTGACAAAGTCAACCATTCAATTTTAGTCGCCAAATTGGGCAGTTTTGGGTTTCTTTCCTTTTTTTTAAATGGATAAAGTCGTAGTTTTCATGTCGGAAATGTGTAGTTCTTGTTGATAATGTTTCTTCCCTTTTGTTGGCTCTTCTGGTGTCCCACAGGGCAGTATTCTGGGTCTATTAATCTTCATCACTTTTATTATTTTATTTAAACAATTTCAAGTCGATCTGATTCAGCTAAGCTCCAGTCAGATCTCAATAACGTCGTGGCATGGTGTGATAAAAATCACCTTCAGATAAATATTACGATGTGTTTTCACATAACGTTTTCCAAGTCCAGGCAGTTATTTTCTACTTCATATTTAATTAAGGAATCACGTCTCACCACTTTGGATGAATTTTCTGATCTGGGCGTAGTTTTTGACTCAAAATTCATATTTCTGAGTCATTTAAATTATATAATTTCTAAGTCATATTCTACACTTGCCTTTATTCGGCGCTTCGGTTCAGACTTTACCGATCCTTACACTCTAAAGTTACTATTTACCTCACTTGTACGATCTAAGTTAGAATATGCTGTCTTTATATGGAGGCCATATCACCTTTATCACATTAATAGACTTGAGCGAATTCAAAAGAATTTTCTTCGTTTTGCTCTCAGTTCGCTTAGCTTTGATGATCCGAGTCCTTCGTATGATGCTGGATGTGCTTTAATTAACTTGAAGTCCTTACAAAGTAAAAGGAGTGTTCTTTCACTCTGCTTTATCTTTGATATCATCTGTGGTGAAATCGACTGTCCATTTCTTTTAGAGGGCATTTATTTTTATATTCCACAAAGAAAATTGCGGAGCAATGATTTATTCTTTCTGGCGCGAGTCCGGACGGTTTATGCTTCCTATGCTCTGATTCATAGAGCATTGAAAGAGTTTAATCAAATTCTTTGGCCTTGGATTTCTCATCGTCTAAGCAATTATTTAAATTTTTATTGAATGGACTATATAGTTAAGCTTGAAATTGTATCGTTAAGTATTTTTGTAGTAGTCTGTAAGAAATCGTGTATTTCTAGATATGAATAAATGAATAAATAAATAAAGTGAAGCGATTGAAGAGCAAAACGAATGAAATTCCGTTAAACTCGCTCAATTCTATCAGAGTGTGAGTTGTAAAATGGATTCCATATTATAGATGCGTACTCCAGTTTTGAACGGACTAAAGAGCTAAATAGCGACTTTCTAGTATAAGGACCTTAAAGTTTTGCAAAAACATCGACGATATGTATATTAGAATACGCTTCCTTCTCTTTCTCTCACTGAGAGCGCGGATAGTGAAGAAAAGTATAGTTACTAAGTGTCGAGTAACTAAGTAAAGTATGAGACCTACATGAGACATGAGACCTTTTTTGTAGAGCATTTAATTCCCTATAGGAATAATTGAAACTCATTTGACAATAACTATTTTTTAGTAAGTTACAAAATTCAAAACAAAAAAAGTTATTTTCCTTAAAATACTTCAATCTTTGACCTTGAATATCTTTTAAATGGTTAGATTAACGAAAAGAGTATACCATTTTTGTAGAGCGTTCAATTTCCTATAAATATTGACGATGCAACTGGTTTAACGATCTATTGGTGATAAGATATGACCATTTTTATATGAGACTAAATTGAAAATGGAAAACTATGATGAGCATAATCTCACCGTTAATATTAAGAGCTCAGACTTGGTATATACTTTCTAGAGGTACCTAGGAACTAGTTTTCGTGTGTCGGATCAAAAAAAACTTAATTTTTTTAACCCACCCTAATATATATATATAAATATTTAATAAATTTATATATTTATATTATAAATAGATTAATATATGTATATAAATATTTAATTAATTAATAGGTATCAATATTCTAATACAAAAGACCCTAAGACTCATAGATCTATAAACATTCTGTTATATTTATTAGTAGATAATAAACTCCTGCGCAATTCCATTTAAAGGGCCTAACAAGACATCCGATCGCCGCGCAAATACTTTCCCTCCTTTACTCTCATCGTTCGGGTCAAGTGTGAGTAAGCATAAACCAGTTTCTGCAAGCGTATGTAAACTACCGATCAATTGCAAGACGCGTAGAGTGTTTACTTTGCCTTCCGCAACTACTGCGAGTAAAAGGTATTTGAAAGTAGAGTACTCCACTGGTAGTACTTGAGTATTTTCGAAGAAAACATACATTTGTGGTATCTGATTAAAACTAAGGACAGGAATGTAGTGGAGCGGTGAAGAGAGCGACGAGCAAAACGTACTTTCAACTAAGATGCTGATATACATACAAGAATGATAGAATACAAGATTGCGCCGATCAGAGAGGATTTTTGAGAATAACTTTTGTGTGACGTCACACTGGTGCAATTGCGAGAGAGAAATGCCAAAACGTGAGCAAGAATGGAAGAAGAAGAAAAAAATGTTGCAAGGAAAACGTAAACAAGTTGCACCAGTGTGACGTCATGCAAACAACGACTCTGTCAAATTCGTTAAGAGAGGAATAGCGGTCCGAGATCGGCGCAACCTTTGTATTCTCTCAATCGTGATATACATACATATATAAGTGTCCGCATATATTTTTTCTCGTCACTTGCTCTGTCGCTTCACTGCAGCAACACCAAGTTGTGGGGAAAAACCTGACGATATGCGTACAATAGTTGCGTTCCATATGCTCACGATATTCACAATTTGCAGGTTTTTTGTGCAGGAAAGCGTTCCAGGTGCCAAAAAACCTGCAAGTAAACTACTTTTGTGAGAGTATCTTGCTATCTCTCTCAGTCAGAAGTTGCAGGTTTTAGTCCGAAGTTTTTCTTTCTGCAAGTTCATGAAAAGTGTCAAACGATAGGCAGGGTTGAATTTATAAACAAAAACAGATAGCAAAGAACATTAAGCGCCACGGAGACAGTCAAATAAATACGTTAAGCATTGCATATGTGTGAGATTGGCTCGTGTCTTGCCCGCAAACGTTCAAATAAACGTGTTAATTCAACAAACAATTTCTTTTTCTTGTCCGCGCACTTGCTCACCACGACGATCAGACGGCAAGTGCGCTTGTTTTTTGTCAAGCAAAACGTGAGACGGTTGACAAAGATATTTGATCGTCTCCATGGCGCTTAACATTAAAAAAATGGAAGTAGTTACAGGAAAAGTGGTTTTTCGCGTTCCAGGTGACTTTTATTTTTTCTCTCTTGCTCCTCACTTTCAAGAGAGTTTTACTGGTTTTTACACGAAGTAATCTAGAATGCCACTAATTGAAACCATGGGTTTGACGATAGCGCAAATTGATGTGAAAATTTCAATTGCATATTAAATATATTTATGTATGCATGTACATATGTACATATGTAAAAATGAGGTTTCGATTTAAAAAATCGAATAAAGTTTTTCTTTCGCCATTCATACACCTCTAATTTTAGAATTTATTAAAAAAAACTTAATGAAATTCAAAAACTATCTCTTGTATTTGGTTTTACTCAATCCCGATTTGAGCTGTCGCACAGTATTATAAAAAAAAAAAACTATCAATGGGTAGGTTCAGAAGGCGCAGCAGTTGAGCGCAACCGTTGCTAAAAAAAAATCAGTGATCGTTATGCGTCAAATTCAACTCTCAAAGGTACACACCAACCTCAAAGGTACACACCAACATGTTGTCTCAAATGATCAGAAAAATATTACGATCATCTAACACGCAACTATTCAGTTGATCAGAAGTACGCAACAACGCATTCAGAAGGTGCAATCGCACCAGTTACTGAGCTGTTGCGCCTTCTGAACGTGCCCATCGAAAAATCGTTTCTCTTGAAATCAAGTTATATGGCTGTGTATGTATATACATACATATGTACATATTTCCAAATTTTTTATACCCGAGCGCACTTGTGCACAAGGGTATTATAACTTTGTTCACATAACGGTTATTTGTAACAGGCAAAACGAATCGAGATAGATATAGACAAATGTATACATAAATGATCAGAATGAAAAGAGAAATCGATTAAGCGGTGACTGTCTGCAGTCCGTCCGTCCGTCTGTGCACACGATAACTCGAGTAAAAATTGAGATATCTTAACGAAACTTGGTACGTGCACTTCTTTCGGGCGTAAGACGGATGGTATTGAAAATGGGCAAAATCGGACAATAACCAACCTCCCATATAACAGTAATTTTCAGAAATCCTAAACTGCGATATTTTAGTAACTACTCAAGATTATTCACTCAAAATTGATATTTGCAATAATTTTTAGACGAAAAATAAGAATATTATAAATTTTTGGAAAATGGGCGTTGCCAGGCCTACTTATGGATACATGTGTATATCTTGGTAACCGTTGCACCAGTTTCATCCAAACAGCACAGTTGTTAGTCTTGCTACAGCATACCAAATGGCCGAAAATTTTAAAAATCGGACAATAACTACGCCTACCTCCCATATAACGGTAATTTGGAGAAATACGAAATCAATAAATATTAAAGCTAATCTACTTAAAATTGATGCTTGCAACAATTCTTTACCAAGAAATACGTTTATGATACAATTTTGGAAAATGGGCGTGGCACCGCCCACTTATGATCACATATATGTATCTCGGTAACCGTTCCACCAATTTGTACCAAACTCGGTATGATTATTGTGCTTGCCAAATAAAAGCAAATTATTGGAATCAGATTAAAATTACGACCACTTTTCATATAACGGCAAATTTCAGAAATGTTTGAAATTTCAATATTTCGAAATTTAGGGACGCTAGCTTACTCAAAATTTATACACCCCGGCTTAACGTGTAGCGGTAGCTTTCGGAAAGGTGAAAATCATATACTTCGTACCTGCGTCGGGTATTTAATGTTCGGATCCGCCTGAACTTCTTACTTGTTTTATTTGTAAAGGCTCTCAAGAAAAACTAAAAATTCATATAAAATTACGCACAATAAATGGAAAATAAATTTTCTTCTATAAAAAATTTCTTAAATCAGTATGCAGCTCTTAAGAAAAAAATGCTCGTTCATCTCGTTGATAAAATGTCCAACTATCGAATGTGAAAATCTGCACTTTGTAAAATTTTGATTTGCCACTAATAATTTTATTTCGTATAGCAGCATTGCTAAGTTGTTGTTTTTGGCAACTTATTTGTTGGTTAATGACTGCAAATAGTTTTATAGAAAATGAGAAACGAGAAATAATACTTTCATAAAAATATAAGTACATACATAGATTTAAAAAGCTGCTTGAATTCAAAAGTTTTATGAAAATGTCACATTAAACAACTGTCTAAATCTACGTTATTTTTTATAAATAAGGCCGTAAACATTTCCTTACATCGTCAATTTCCGTATTCTATTTTTACTCTTTCAATTGCACTGATCAGCGCCGCAAACGATATCAACTACTAGGCTAACAACAAAAATTGAAATTTAATACGCAAATACTTCCGGTACTACAAGTATACAGAGAGTAGATTTGCTACTCCCTTTTGGCAGCAGCAAATATCTCTCGTACGCGATGAGAGAAAGTAGAGTACCTACTTTGGTGGAGTAATAGCAAGTACGTCAAGTATTTACTCTCTCAACGCCAAGAAGTGTATGTATGCGGAAAAAGAGTAACAATGTGTTGGGAGTAGAGTACAATGCAAGGAGTATTTATTGAACGAAATGCGGCAAGTACACTTGCACTGGACTTTAGTAGATAAGATAATCTGACGTTCAACATTTATATAGATGTATGTTAAGGCCACCCTTTTATTATCATCTACTAATTAAGCCAACGTATTGATCTTTTAACTCTTGGAAATCGATATATTGGCATTTTTAATTATTTACTATTAATTTAAACTTTGTTACAAAAATGACTTTTTTATACACTATATAATATCTAAATATAATATATAAAATTATATTTAGAACATTAAAATTAATATTAAATAAAACAAAAACATGGAATATTATCTTTTTTAAATGAAATATGTTATTTTCTTTCAATGAATTGCCTGACGAAAAGGGTTACCTTGATAGGGTGAATCGTGTAATAATATTACATTCATTATAAGTTTATATTTAATAGAATCAAACTATTCCTAAAAGTATCAAAAACTTTTGTGCATCATACACTAAAATATAGAAATATAAGCTTATTAAGCTAGTGGGTTCATACCCCATTTATAAAGGTTAAAAAGCCTTTCTTTTAAATTTTTAATAATTCTGCTAAAATTATATTATTTTTTATTTTAATAATAGGAACAATAATTACTATCTCATCTAATTCTTGGTTAGGTGCTTGAATAGAGTTAGCGCTGTGACGAAGTGGATCGCGATCCCTGGGGCCAGGGATACAAAATAGGAATGAAAAAGTTCCATACATCATCGCAAGCGATGGATGAGGCCCGATTTGAATATAGTGGATGCACTATTTTCCACACACGCAAGTCGAGGTATCACTGTTTTCGACAGACGAGCTGAAGCTAGCCCTGCGAAGCATGAAAGCCGGTAAGGCTCCAGACCCAGATGGCATACCAGCGGAGGCAATCAGGTTAGCAGCGAAAACGAGCCCTGATCTCCTGCTTAACATGTACAACAGCTGCCTTAGGGCCCGGGTCTTCCCAAGCCAATGGAAGAAGGCGACACTGGTGCTTATACCCAAGGGAAAAGGGGACCCAAACTCTCCTCCATCCTTCCCGCCACTCTGCATGCTAGACACAGCAGGCAATATGATGGAGAGTCTGCTCAAAATACGCTTGACGTCAGCCATAGAAAGCGAGGGAGGCCTTTCACCCCGACAACATGGCTTCAGGAAGGGACACTCAACTATAGGAGCAATTGGCGAAGTAGTCGAGGCGGTACATAAGGCCGAAGAAGCCTGCCACCAGGCGCGGCCAATAGTGCTGCAAGTCACACTGGACGTCAAGAACGCCTTCAACTCGGTAAGATGGGATGACATGCTGGAGGCCTTGGAACGGTCATTCAAGGTTCCAACATACTTGCTAGATATGACCCGGGACTACCTCAGAGACCATTGGTTTTTGCACGACACAACGAAAGGTCAGAGAAAGAGACGTATAACCGGCCAGAGCTGTAAAAATTTGCAATACATATTTTAGCAAGCAATGATTATGCTAGTAATAGGATTACAATCAAAATTTATTGCATTTTTCTGATTGTAAAAACTACAATCAATTTAATTGTAAGCACATTTGATTGCAATGATTGTGATTGCAATCAAACATTGTGAATTCAATCAAACATTTTAATTGCAATCTCAAAAATACAATAATTTATTCATGCAGTTTTTAATAAAGAAATTGAGAGCGTAAAAGCAAAATAGAACGTGAAATTTGACAAAAAGAGTAAACTAGCAGAAAAAGTTATTGAACACAAAACTAGTAAAAACAAGTGAGTAGTTGTTACACCGTTTTGACATTCTGCTGTAAACATTTTACTATTTACAAATCAGTTTTAAACTCTTTGCTTTACACGCAAGCACTTACACAGTCCAGTAATCATTAATATTTTGATTTCCACTCATTTTACTTTTGTTTATGCTTAACCATTTCAAAAAATGGCGGCTTTTGACATTTATTCTTCTTCTGCTAGCTAATTTCTGCTAGTAAAAATTTCTCTAGCAAGAATTTGCACCTCTCCCGTGTTATAACGCTCTCGATTCAGTGCTCTATTGGAAATTTTTTGGGGTATTATACACTGTTCCAGTAAAAATTTGCAGGTTCCTGTACTGACTATTTGTTACTATACACACCTAATATAAACAACGAGTTGTGAGCACTTCAAATTGCATGCATGTTGTTTTAGTAATTTACTCTAAGAAAAGAGTTCAGTTACGTAAGTATCTTTCTCTCAAAACATGATTTGGTTATCGTTACATGATTAAGTCATAGTTACCAAATCTTGTGTTGAAAGAAAAATATTTAGCAGATTTGTCTTATAAGTTTAAGTTTGACAACAGTAGACAGAAAGTTGTTGCTGCTGGAAAAAAAACATTTTATTCAAAAAACGCCAAAAAATATTGAAGACTGGTATAAAATTTTAGCTTATAAGACAAATATGATAACTTCTGACTTACATAATACCTTACAATATTTACAATTTACAAGACCAAATATAAAATGTGCGAACCAAAACTTTTTGTGCGAATATATGACGGCTTAACTAATGTTCCAAGTAAATGCACTTGCAGTGCGCAACAACAATACAGAAGGGCCAAACCGAGCAAAAACACGGCCGCACGAAAGGGAGATGACAAAAATCCAAGCAACCTGGCTGTCTCAGTAGATGGCACTACTAATCCACACAAGAAATGTGCAAGTACATTTCGATGACTGAGTAGAAGATCGACATATCTCAGTAGTCAGTTTGAAAACGCCCTATCTCAGAAAACTTTTCAAGAGCGCCCTACTTTGGAATTTGATTGAAGAACGCCCTTTTTCAGAATTTTATTGAAAAAATCCCCTTCTCAAAAATTGGTTGAAAACGCCCTATCTCAGAATTTGGTTTAAAAATGACCTAGTATCTCAAACGAAAATACATTGAAAATGTGCTGGTATATGGCATTTTTGCATCGGCAGTTGAGATAGGGCGTTTCTGAACCGAATTCTGAGATAGGGCGTTCTTAAATCAAAATTCTGAAGTAGAGCGTTATTGAAAAATTTTCTCAGATAGGGCGTTTTTGAACTGGCTGCCGAGATAGGTCGATCTTCCACTCAGCAATCGATATGTTATACTACTAGGGATGGTTGAAAAACACGATGGAGGTGCTGTTTAGTTGCAGCTTTGTCATGCAGTAAATCGGATTTTCATGCACGCACATTGTATATGCTCTCGATTAGCGGAACATTAAAGACGATAATCAAAACAACCTACTGCTAGGTGTAACGCCGTGAGGGGGTTCACTTTGCGCTGCTAATGCGATGCGTTAACCCACTGAGGGCTTGTGTGTCTCACAATCGTACTTCCAATTATTCATCAAAATAAATGTCGTTTAGACAGATTGCAGTTTGCAATTTGTATGCAATTAATGATTGCAATCAAAACCTTATTGCAATCAATTTCTTCTAAATGATTGCAAATTTCAATTTTTGAAATCAAAATAAAAGCAATCAATATTAATTGCAATTAAACCAGATTGTAATATTTCGTAAAATATGTGATTGCAATCCAATTTGACTGCAAATTTTTACAGCCCTGTAACCGGCGGAGCGGCTTAGGGGTCTGTACTTGGCCCGGACCTCTGGAACGCCACGTATAACAGTCTGTTGCGCACGGAAATGCCGGAGAGCGTCTTCCTTGTCGCCTTCGCGGACGACGTGGCCGCCGTCATAACAGCAAGAAACGTCCAGCTAGCACAGCTCAAGCTAAACCAGGTTATACGCAACGTCAGTGGATGGATGAGCGATCACGGTCTGCAATTGGCTACAGCCAAAACTGAGATCGTGCTCCTCACCAGGAAACGGATCCCAACAATTATAAATATGATGGTCGGACCCCAACTCGTGACAACTTCTAGGTTTACAAAATACCTAGGAGTGAAGCTTGACAGCAAACTCACATTCTGAGAACACATCCATGGAGTATGTTAAAAAGCTGCGCAGAGTACGGTGACTCTAAGCTGGCTGATGGCGAACGTGGGCGGCCCGAAGCCATGCCGCAGGAAGCTTCTGATGACAGCAGTCCAGTTGGTGCTCCTGTACGGAGCAGAAATATGGGCCGATGCATTGAAAGTCAAAAAATACCGGATTTAAATGCCTTCGGTCCAANGCGGCCCGAAGCCATGCCGCAGGAAGCTTCTGATGACAGCGGTCCAATCGGTGCTCCTGTACGGGGCAGAAATATGGGCTGACGCATTGAAAGTCAAAAAATACCGGGTTCAAATGTCTTCGGTACAGCGCAGAGGGGCACTACGCATTGCGTCTGCATACCGTACAGTGTCCGCGGACGCGGTTCTAGTTATCTCTGGCGTCATGACAATTGGNAAGCTTCTGATGACAGCGGTCCAATCGGTGCTCCTGTACGGGGCAGAAATATGGGCTGACGCATTGAAAGTCAAAAAATACCGGGTTCAAATGTCTTCGGTACAGCGCAGAGGGGCACTACGCATTGCTTCTGCATACCGTACAGTGTCCGCGGACGCGGTTCTAGTTATTTCTGGCGTCATGCCAATTGAGCTACTTGCTTACGAGCGAAAAGAGATTTACAATCTCAGTGCCGAGATAGG